TTTTATGTAATTGGTATTGAAATTTGTTGTGGAATAAAAAGGCAAACATTTGTTTTTATTATGTAATATTGTTATTGAAATTTGTTGATTAGAGTTTATATGCAACGCTTGATTTGTGATCTACATTTAATTTTTCTTTATCCGAACCAAGAAGGGCCAGAACGATTACAATACTGCCAGCCCATTTGGAACAAGACCAACAAAACTTCAAAATTTTAAAATTAAAAATAAATGAATAATAATAAACCAAAAATGACTCGGAAAGGTCCAAATTTAAAGAAATAATAAGTTTTTGTGCACCATTACAAGTCGGCTTACACACACTTTGACTAGCAGTTTTCTGCTATAAGTTTTCATCTTCATAAGACACAATAATCTCCGGTTTATGTCTTTCCTCTGTCAAGATTTGAAGCCAACAAACTGCCAATTAAATCTCTTCGTGGCCTTATCGATATATAACAGGCCTTATCAACAAACTGCAAACTTGTGCAGACTTGACGCATTAAGTCAATGTGTGAATCAATGAGGTCGAGGAGAGACACCATACGGTGCGTTTTGCAAATATTGATGAATTTGGTTTATTTGGGACTTCGTTTGGGCATATTGGAGGAACATGTGGAGAAATTATTGTGTGACATCTTGTGATATTTTCATTTAAAAGTTGCCATGTCGGCTACAAGTCCAGGTTGGAAAAGAACTCTTAAGTTTTTTTTTATAAAAAAAATACATGTTTAATTTTGAATGGAAGTATCACCGGCTAATGTAGTGATACTGTAAATGTTGTCTAGCACCACGTAGGCAAATAACGCATGAATTGAGCCGACTATTTGGGTAATAAATTAGTATGGTTTCCTAGGATTTGTGTATGAGTTTGTAAATATCCAACAAATCATATATGAACTTGAGAAATACCTAATAATTTGAGAAATTTTATGTAACTAACCCTTATTTCTAATTAGTGCATGAGGTGTTGTGCAGAAGCTTCTAATTCCATTGTGCAATGAATGAAATATGAAGTCCACTTTAATTTATTCTTTATATAAGATTTCTGGAAGGACCACAAGAAGCATCCTGGCTAGACAGCCGCCTGTGAAATGCAGGTCTTTCTTAATCAAAAGTATTGATCTGCCGCGTTTTACTACAAGAATTGGAATCTACGGTTGCTTTGACTCAGTGTATGAGTGCGGAAAAACTTTCTTAATCAAAAGTATTGATCAGCCGCGTTTTACTACAAGAATTGGAATCTACGGTTCCTTTGACTCAGTGTATGAGTGCGGAAAAAGTTGTTTGTTTGTTTTAGTTGAAGGTGTGTAGACTTGGTCTTCTGTGGGGACAAGTCAACCGGAGGTAATAGTATTATAAAACGACCAAACTCCTATAAAGACAACATCGCGTTGGGCTACTTTCTCATCCACCTCTAAAGTAAATCACATCAACTCATAAAGCAAGGCCCTACCTACCATGGTGCAGCAAAAGATAGTTATGAAGTTGCAAATGAACTGTGAGAAACACAGAACCAATGCCTTAAAGATTGCTGCAGTCGCTAAAGGTTTGCAAAATTATATATAATTTTTCATAGGAAACTTTAATTCTTTGATAAATTAACTTACGATCTAAATTTAGAGGAAGTTAACGTTCCACACCAAAACCAATTTGTAATTGGAAAGTAACTCAATTCTTTGTAAGTCTTGTGCAAAGTTTCGTAACTTTCAAATGTGGAACAATTCTTTATTTCGCATCCTCACAGGACCATCCATATATATATATATGTAAGCAGGTGTGAGCAAAGTGTCGATAGAAGCTGAGAAAGAGCAGATGGAGGTGATTGGAGATGGAGTTGATACCACGAGATTGACCATGTCGTTGAGGAAGAAGCTTGGCTCCGCCGCCATAGTAAGTGTTGAACCAGTGAAAGCAAATGCGGAGGAGAAGAAACCAACTCCTCCAACAACAACACAATATTGGACATCAAGCTATGTCCATCATCCACGACATCGTTCTACTCACTATCGTGTGGTTCATGATGAATCTCCGCAACAGATCAATTGTTCTATTATGTAATTGTGATTGAAATTCATTTTCATTATTCATTTTGTATTATTAAATTTATTACCAAACTTATCAATATATAAACATCTTCTTGAGTTTAACAACTTAAAAGAGAGTGAAAGCAACATCTATGTGTGTTAATTAGTTTTTGTTTTCAAACGCAATCAACACAAATTCCTCAAGAGAAGCATGAGCGTCCATTCGGTAATTAGCTAAGGATATGAAATTGCACAACTATTCCATTGTTTCTTGACTTCATAATACATAGAGACATGATTTAATCAAAATGGGTCACTATTACTAGTCAATGTTTTTTAAAAGCATGCATAGGCGCGCGCCAGAGTGAGATGATAACAAATCGTTTCATGCGTATATAAATTATAAATTATTTTAATATATAGTATGTTAGGAAAAATCAATAAATGGCTTATATTATAAAATGACACAGATGAAATATAACAGCAGCAAACTACAATGATAATTTAATAGTATAAACAGAAAGTAAATACAGAAAACTGACTTTTATTGTAGATAGAGGCTTGCGTATTTCGCAATGTCCTAAAGACAGAATTTCGCCTCCTCTCAGTGCTTGAAGTTCAACATGC